GATGTGATTCGATCGAACATTGTTGCATCAGGTTGGGTGGATTTATTATAAATCCACCAGCAAAATAAAGTGGGTATTTCGTTTGTATGAGCGTGGCACTTCTTTGTACTATAGATTCTTTGTTAGAACCATATTTTTTCCAAGTAAATTATTTGAACTTTTCTCTATTTTTATTTTGGTTGGTAGGAAATTAAAAGATGTACGTGTGGTTCATATGTGTATATGTTATGTGTTCTGGAGCCCTGATGTTGCTCATGTGTATGTGTTATTTATTGTGCCTTTTTGTTGTTGGATTTGCACATTTAATTAGCACTGCCAACTTTGCTGTTTACTTTTGTTGGCTGCACAAAAATAGAAAATAAATCTTATTTTTAGTTTAGGATGTACCAGGCGGGAAAATGAAATTGGGTTCGCCGACATTTTATGAAAAGAAATATAAATTATGCTAACTGGCAAATAGATGCACACAGTTTGTAGGGCAAAGGGCGGCTACACGTTGACACGTAATGAAATCTGTTTAGCCGAGCGGAATTACGCACGTAATCCTTATAACTCATGTAAAGGTAATTAACATTAATTCAAAACTTATTTATGAATGCGTCTATTTAAACACTGAATAAAGCACAACATAATGAGTTCCACGTACATTTGTTATTGTTCATTGTTCATTGTTTTTAGTATTTTAATATAATTTATAAGAATTCCTTAATTAAAGTATTATGACTTGAAAATTAAAGTTAACTTTATTAAAGTAAAAGACGTGAAGTATTATATGTTCAAATATTTATTTTCATTATAATTATTTGGTAAAGACGCGTCTATAGCTAATGCATTCCATTTTTGCGATATTTAAGAGTTGAGTACAAATGATCAATTTTATGATTGTTCAGCCATATGGATATATTTTCATAATATTTTTTTAATTTCTTTAAGTTTGAGATATTTCAGAATGGTGCTGTATAAAAATTTTCAATCGCCCAATAAGGAGATTTTTGTAAAGTGAAATTTGTTTAAATTTAATAAACCATATTTAAAATTGATCATTATAAATTACCTTTTTACCTTTTACCTCTTAATTAAGTATTGCAATATTAAACGGATAAAAGCTATTGTATAATTCTTTTAATTCATCAATATTATAGAAGACTGAACATGCAAATTGATGTTCAAGTCATGAAAAGTGTTAGATTTGGATAGTATAATATAATTAACTATAATTCATACTTTAGATTATAAGAATTAGATTAGGTTATGTACATTTTTGGGTGCTCTATATTCACTAACTCTGTGAATGACTCAACTTTTGTAAAAAAATGAAAATAATATCATTAAATGTGCAAACATGTGAGGTACCCAACAAGGTATTCAATTCATGATGGGATCAGTTTAAGAAACTATGACATTAATAGGATCATTTAGGTTCATTTGCATTGTGTTAAACGTATTAGGTTAGGTTAGGTTATAGCGGCGATGCAAATGATCCACTTAGGTGGAACTTAAATCGTATCCAACCCCAATCCACTTCCACTCCCTATTTTCTTCCTCTTCCACCCTCAATCAATCATTACTCATCCACATCCAAACCCATAAAATCGTCGTGTGATTCCTTTCATGTTATTTGCTTTCCAGATCCTTGCGGACCACCACAACTACAACATCCACTTAGGCCTATTGGTCTTGATATGACATAGGCTAAAAAGTAAAACAGAAATTAAGTAAAATATTATGCTTGCTTATATCTCGTCAATTAAGAACTTGAACTCAAAATTCAAGTATTTCAAGTAATTTTGCAATGAAAATACACAAATAAATACATTATTGCTTTGCCATATTATTATATCCGAATATTGACTCCCTGTAGTTTCGGATACCAAGACATACTTGTAGAATCCTTAAATCTTAGCTGTAAAGTAAGAACCTTGAAGAAAAAACCAGCGTATTTATTCAAAAGTTAACCGCACAAGTATTTATACGAATATGTTTGTCATTTCGCTGAATTATAGGCGCATATGAAGATATAAAAAAAATCAACAAAACTTCGGAATGAAAACGCAACCTTGACTCAGATATGTCGCAAAATTTCTGTATCATCTGAGAAGAGAGCAGTCGTTGTTCGCGTGCGAAAGATTTGCTAAATTAAGACTCACACTTTCATTATCAAAGACCGTAAAGCAAAAAGAAGTGAAGATAAGCAAAACATTGGTAAGTTGAATAAGGAATTTACACTTTTAGCTGCAAAAATATTATAAATAATAAATTTTTGTTAGGCACTCGGACGAACATTGTGTCTAAAAGTGACACTGCAGATACTCAACAATGATGTGACTGACTGGCTGCTTCTGGGGTTTGTGCTGTTTTGTCAACAGCCCAACGGCCTAACAGCCCATGCTTAAGGATGTCAATTATTCATCAAATGCGGCTAAAACACATCTCAGCAACTCGAATTAAGCGGCTACATTTTTCTTTATTTATATTTGCGGGCAAGGAGCTGTAACTTTTCCAAGAAACACGAAATCCTCACATTTTCCGTAAACACGCTAATGGGAATCACACTCAAAGCATAAATGGATTTCTTTTTTTCCCTGTGATGAGCCTGGAAAAGTCTTCGAATCTGAGTGTGCGCGCGTAATTTATTGTGTTTGTATTAGTTTGACATTAAACGTTAATTAATTGGAATGGTAATTGACAGAGGCTTACTGGCATGCATCATTAATGTGTGATTTGTGTAAACAGGAAGTTTATTAATTAGCCAAAATTAGTATTTGTGTGAAAACCCTAAACGATACTAAAGGATTCCATTTAAGGAACACAGAATGGAAGAGAAGAGAACTTTTTGTATAGGACTAGGAAATTATTTATTTCTTAAAGAAGAATTTGTTAAAGAGGGAAAAGAAGAGTTATTCTGGGTTCGATTTATTAATTTTATTTGTCTAAATATGAGTCAAAATTTATAAATAAAACATAAATAACAAAAGTTCAATCACAAAAAGCTTTCGTTGAAATGGACCGGAATTCTATTAGTAATTCTACTCTCTATTTCGGCCATTGATGAAAATTGCTAAATCGAAATAAGTGAACTCGTATCTATACCAATGTAAGTGAACGAGTAACTGTATCATCTTCCCATTCCCATGTTCACATGTTCAAATTATATCCTTTCTTGAATTCTGAGTAAGTCCTAGCACAATAATAGAAGAAAACAATCAGAAGTGACTTGGATGTCAATCGATATTGTCCTCATTTTTGTTAAATCTCTTTAACACCAGATTTGCATAGCCACATCCTTTCATGACGGTTCTGATAATACACGATTCAAATTTTAACGATATTGTAAATCCATAGTTAGTAATAATTTCCAATTCAATTAAATAGTTGATAAAACAGTGCTACTAACATGAGAAATAATATATTTTGCAGATATACGACTATGAAGTGTATAACATATGTGGTATAAAGTCAGGACTTATTTTCGTTTTGAGGCGATGTTATTGTAAGTGTAAATCACTCTACGTCTGAATTAGTTAAAAACTAATTAATTAAATTCATTCAACGATGATAAAAGTTAAATCGAAAAGTAAAGTAAAAAGTTTTTTGTGCTCTAGAACTTTTTTTGAATTCTCGTTCGGAATGTTGAAGTTCAAACAAAAATTCGGAAATGTTCGTATACTTTTCCTTATCTGTTTATATTGTTACTGGATGACTGTCAAAAAGTATTCAAAATCTGTAAAATGATTCACTTTTTTAGTTTTGATGAAATAACGATATCCACAGAAATTAGACCCATTTCAGTGTAGTAAAATTGCGTGGAAGAAGAGGAAGAATAACTCTGGCTTTGCCGAAATGTCAATACCTTTTATACAAAACAATATTGAATTATTGATGCATGTACTGAAATCACTATAAAGTAATTCAAAGCAGCAAAGTTCAAATTAAAACTTAACAGAACGTTTTCATATTCGTGCAAACATGTGAAGTATCTTATATTAAAGGATTTTGTTTAAAATGGTATAATAAAAATATGTCTTATATTTAATTTTTGCAGTTAGAATATACAAAACTTAGTATATTTACTTCTCATATTATGATCTATATGTTTTCCGTTGAACATATATCTGACGTGGTAAGAACTTTCTTTACGGTTGGGATTGCAAAATGTCGTGCTCACTTAAAAACCTATCCAAATACCATTTGAAGGCGTTGTAATTTAGATTGTATGCAATATATTTAGATGTGCGGGCTTTGTTGAGTCCATTTGTTGAGTACAAATTAAAAGTTCTTTTTTGTTTTAGACCTCAATATCCCGAAAATCATCATCAAGAGTATATAAGAGTATACATCAACTTTTCGTGGGTGAAAGAAACTATGTTGTGAAGTCATTTGAATACTTATACATACGTTACTTCAGTTAATATGTTAGAAATGCAAATAAAGGATTCTTAGTTGATGTATTGTCAATATATTCAGAAACTTAATGTATTCACATTTCGACAGTGTCAGGACATAAAAACAAAATAAAATTACAATATATTTTTTAATAAAAAAATACAAATAAAATATGAACAAAAAATTGAGAATTAATAAAAACAGTGCCAGGACACTGCAGAAGCGACCAAATCTACCTACATCAGGAAGAGATGAAAAACTTTTAGAATTTGTGCACTGCGACAAAACCAAAACAGCAACAATTTTTTAAAACTTTTCCCGATTCGCAAAAAGCTAAAGTTTCAATTGTGGATTCCTTTGGTTTAAGGATAAAAATAATTCATAAAAAGTTTGCATTTTTTCAACTTCGGAATTTAAAATTGAATTTTATTTACAATCTGTGATTTTACTCCGATTTTGTTTCAACTACAAATAATGCAAAATATTCAAAAACTAATTAAATAAATATCTGCTATGAAGCTAAGACATTTTTTTATAATTTCCTATACTAAGTAAAATGTTATGAAAATTGTAGATCTTATTTTAAATCAAAGGTTGTCCCACATTTATTTCTCAAATAAATAAATCTATTGCGGTTTTATATTAACATAGACATATTAGCAGCAGATCAAGGACATTACGAACAATAGAAAATTGTTCCCACTGCTTCTTGTTTCTTAAGTTTAAAAAATTTTAATCTTACAAGAATCAATAGGATTATATTTTATCTGGTATAATTAATTATTATTGGTGATTTATTCGTTCACTTCTTTTGCTGAAGATGTTTCTCCTCTACAATTTCGAACTAGGTTTCTCACATATTGAGGATGTCCAAAGGTTCTGTTACATCGATAACCATATCCATGCGCTGCCGTACCAGAGCATAGAAAACAGTCATACAAAAGTTAAGGAAGTCTTTGAAATCTTTAATAAAATTTAGAAATTACCGAACCTCTCTTATTGAAAAAAAATAAGGTAATATAATATCAAAGCTGAAGTCACACTTCTGTGTGACAGAGTTGAAATAACCGACTTTTTTTCTACATCTTAAGATCAATATCACACAATATCAGTTATGGTTCAGAACCAAGCAACCTCCAATCAATGATGAATTAATAATGGATTTTGTAATGGGCTTTCTTCATTTAATGGGCTTTCTTCATAACTCTAAAGGCAGCAGAATACTCGAGAGTACTGTATGGAAGAGTCAAATAAAGCTGTTGTTCAACGCTATGAGAATAACTGGAAAAAATTTAAACGTTTGTCATTAGATAGACTTTAATGGAAATTATTTGTTACGACCTTGTGTTCCTTGTAGCAATCTTAAGTGATGGCTCCAATTGCTTCAATCGACCCTAATATGGATGATAAGTGCTGAATCTGATTGTATCTACAAGGTATAAAAATAAATTAAATAAAATTCAAAAAGGATATAGTCGGATTTACAAATCGAAGCCTCTCATGATCGATAACTAAGTATTCCGAATAGCTCTTAATGGAGTTTTACCGATCATAAGATGAAACATAAAGTGTTCAATATATAGTGTAACTATCTTGGCTATAAAAACAAGGTGAAAGAATATAATTATTAGTAGTAAATAATTTCTAACAATAATAAATTATTTTTGACAGAGTAGAAGGAGAAAGTTTCGTTTTTATTAGCGAGAAATCTAAATCTCCACAATCATTTCAAGCGATTTCTTTCTACTTTATTAAACATAAAACAAGAAGCAGTTGCTGCGGCTTAGTTATTCGGAGAGCGGTAACAACAGGTGATAACAAAGTGTACGCTTGTATGTTGAATATGTATTTAAAATTCAACGCACGAATGTGTTGAATAAAAACTTTATTCGAAAATAGGGGAAATGCGGCGAATTTGCTTATAAGATTGGAACTTGCGCACTGCATGTATTCAGCTATAAGGACTCCTCCAGTGTTTGATTAAATGGCAGAAGGAAATGCTTTAGTACTTCGCTGGCAGAAGCAGATAAAGTACATTGCTATTAAAGAAGTTTTTCACTTTAATTGGAAACTAAAAATATACGTAACTACAAAATTTTTATTATTCTTAGAAAGAATAATAGTACATCACGAATTATTAGATCTATTATATAAAATATATTACTTTT